TAAACTCTCAAAAGACTAGTAACAGAAAAAACGAACTACGAACATTTAAATTCCTTTCACATCCATATTCCTTCAGCAGTTGTGGGTTTTCAGAAAACACTGGACATTTGCTATTATAATTTGGTTTTCCACACAAATACTGGGGGCTGGACCACTGTCTGGAAATTTTCTTTTGATTCACTGAAACCAAAATTTCACTGTGGATGGGGTTCTTGGTATTTATGAATAATTACTCTCTTGGTTTTGATTCTTTCAAAATTCTCCACACCTCCATACTGATATGCACTTAGAAATGATACAAAAATTCCTGAAATAGTTCTTCTTAATATGCGGTTCTACATCAACATGATTTTTTAAACTTGGCAAGCCCAAGCCCCTGTGCTTGAGTTCTGTAATCCTAGAAGAATACACGTACAAAAGAGGTAAGAGTTTTAAGTATTTTAGGCACACAATATTCTAGAAAGGGTCCATCCCATTATCTTAGACTTAGTTCTTTACCCTTCTGACTCTATTAACTAACTTGATTAAGGACACAAACACACACAAACACACACACACACACACACACACACACACACAGGCATGCACACACTTATCCACAGCTCCTCCCCGATGGATCAGAACATCTACCACATCTTGATTCATATTTACTTAATGGCAACACAAAGGCTAAGCCTGGAACTACTCTCCTCCTAAATAATTAGGAGGTATGGTATCCAGAGCTATCAATTTAAATTTAACTATTTTGATTTAGATAGCCTTTATGTCCTGGAAGCACTCTCAGAAATTGTGTAGCTAAGTTATGAGTATCTTTTTAGACTTAATACTCATAGTGAATTACAATCCACTTTTAATTTAACTTGTGGAGTGCCTATGACTGTTGGGTTCTACTTAGCCAGGTGACATCAGTAGAAAGTTTACAAAATTTATATTCTAATCTTACCCCTTTCCAACCTGGCTGTGGGATACCTAAGTTTCCATACAGTACACAGTTAATAGTGGAAGATAAATCAAGATATACAATTTCAACAGCTAACAGATCAAATAGTAGGGAATGCAAATTTTCTGGACAAAATTCAAACTTAAAATATTTTGAGGCATTTTTCAATTTTAAACAACCATAGTACAATGGAGTACTAAAAACACTTATTGCCATTTTATCAATTCAGATGTCTGTGGCAACATGAAGTACTTTCACAGCATTGCTGAAGCTCACTCTCACATGAGGGCTACACCAGGTCCCTGCTTCTTAGGTGAAAATTCTGCAGAACCACTACAGGAATCATTCTGAGGATTCCTAGGATCCCCATATTTCTACATGAAGCCTTCTAAGAGGGAGCTGAGTTTTCCCAACTTTTCACTGGGAGAGAGGCAAAGTAAAATAACAACCATGGGCTGCCTTCAGTAGAGAGATTTATTTTAAAAATATAACTTCTAGGTAGGCTTTTATTTGACTAGCATCACCAAATTGAAGCTTTAATTTTATTTCCTATTTCTTTTATGTACAAAGCTTCTTAGTCCTGCCTAGGCTTTTCTTTTTCTGGGACTGGCAAAAAACAAAACAGAAATGTTATTTCATCACCCAGGGTGGTAGGACATAGCATCATGAAATCTCCAGTGCCAGAGGGTAAAAGATTTTGCACTAAAACAAATTAGCATTGGTGAGTCACATCTTGAATGTCCTGTTAGGAGGATCATCCATCAAACATTTTAATAGCTACAGCTTTCACTTTCCATCAGGTTATCTGGATAGCAAGCAGGTACTAAAGTGTTTTAAAATATTCCACAGGATAACTTCAAAATTGTTTTAAAATCAACAGGATGCTCCAGGAAACAAACATGAGAGTTTAATTCTCTATTTCCCGAGTGAAAACAGTTAAAACCAGATCTGATTAGGTCTAGTCATACTTTTCCATAGAAAGGTCCATAATAGTCTCTACCCATTCAACTGTCCTCAACTCTAAATTACAAGTTTCCCAACAATTTTCACTGCACACATTGCCAAACCCAGGAGCAAACATTAGCTTTCACACTTTTCCATCAGGGTGAAAAAGGTTTTATTTGCTGAAAAAATTAAATATAAGATCTAATTAAAAAGTTGGTCAATAAATACTTGCATTTCCTTTATCCAGGGAAAGAATGATTCTTTAAAAAAGTATTTCAAAAGATCTTTCAACTAGCTTTCCAAAGACCAGTGAGGTTTTTTTCTTTACATAATGAACTCTGTTTTTCTTCAGTTTCCACTGTTTAATATGGCTTTAATCACATGAAAGTCATTTCTACAGGCTACCAACTATTTGAGAACTTTTTCTAGAGAAGGCATTAGCCCTACCTTTACACCAACTGGATGCCAGCTAGTTATCTATGGTTTTTTTCCAGTTCATGAGTTCCATAATTTTGAATACTTTCAGTTTTAAGAAGCCAACACCTGGAGTTAAAGGTATTTAACCCTTTAAATATTGAAAGCCAAAGTTAAAGAGGGTGCCTTTCCTCTTCCCTTTCCCCTTCTGCCTGTTTCTGCTACGGTTTCATGACCTTCAATAAATGTAACTACTTACTACTTTAAAAAAAAATCCAAATATATTTCAACAATTACTTCAAAGTTACACTGCCCACATTTGAAATACGTCTTAAAACAATAAACCAGGTCTTACACAATAAGTAATTCTGAATTCTCCAATTCCTCACACTAACTCCACTGGGATGGTACCAGAAGCTGGGGAGAAGGTTTGTAATTTTTTAAAAATCTGCATCCGTTCCTGGGTAGTTCTGAAAGATCTCAAGCACCCATGCTACGCGTTTGGGATTTCACAAAGTATTCAAAGAAGGAAAATAACTGAGAGGCGGGAAGGACGAACTTAAAAGAGATGAGCTTCCTAATCTCCCGTTCCTAAGTTTCCCTGTGAGCTCAGCGCTACTACCCTCTAAATGCTTCGTTTGCAAATAGAAACGAAGCGAGAGAGAGAGAGAGAGAGAGAGAGAGAGAGAGAGAGAGAGAGAGAGAGTGAGAGAGAGTTAGAGTACCAGCCTAGATCTTCCAAACAGGGGGTCCATCACATAAAGTGGGAAGTCAAGAGGATAGCCTACGTAGGGGTACAGACACTTTTAGTTTCTTGCAAAAGCTAAGACCAACACCACAACGAGTGACTCATCTGGGGGCTTTGTAAGCGGACTTTGCGCTCTCCACTCTGCTCTCCCCGCTTTTCTGAAGGAAACGCAGGAGCGGGCCGCGGAGGAAAGCGCTCCGGAGAAGGTCGGGCCTCCCGGAGTCCCGGCCCCGCTCCAGCCCCGCCCGACCCGGGGATTCCCCGTGCTGCACCGGACCGCGCTAAAGCTGGACAGAGGAACCGGGTGCCAGCTGCCGGGGCTCGGCCCGGGCTGGGACAAGGAAAACGGAAATCCAGTGAAAAAGTTTGGGGAAGGGAGACACCCTCACGACACCCCCCTCAACTGGGTAAACAAGAGGGGCGGCGGGAAGGGGGAGTGGCGGGGAACCCAGGGATACCCGCTATTCGCGGGATGTGGGAGGAGGGTCAGAAAGTCAACACACTAGCACACACACAAAAAGAGGAGAGGGCGGCCAGGAGAAAGGAGGCGGGCGA